TGTGTGTGTGTGTGTTTATGTTTGTGTGTGTGTGTGTGTGTGTGTGTGTGTGTGTAAAGTACTGTCACTGAGTTGATTTGTTCGGCTGACAAAAAAAAATAACCCACCAGGATTGTTTGGAAAGACAACACAGAATTTGAGCACAAGCGTCAACGTACCACTTCTGTGGAGGTCTCCGTGTGCTCAGCTGCCACGTGTTCCTGCAGCGAAATCTCTGTGAAGCCCATTCTGCCACAGTAGGGACATGTAAAGGCCTGGGGCTGCTCCACTGAGAACGGCTCTCCACCGTAGTACAGGTCTGGAAGACAAGTGGGATGCAGTCTGTTTGAATATGAGTTACATTAGAGTCGTCAAAATGTATTATTTTGTGAAATCTGCTCTGCATATATCAGGTTACCATATACCATCTCATTGTCCATTGTATTTACTTTGCTGTTATTATTGGTATTGATGTAAATGTTTATACTTTAACACTTATGGTCCACATGACTTTTCTGACTTTGAATTAGAATAATAATAATAATTAAAATCTCCTGTGATCTCACACATTCTGGCGTTTTCTTTTTCCCACAGTTACAGTGTGTCCCGAGTGTGAAAGGCCAACATTAACAGATGTCACATTGCTAACCACTACACTTAATACTAGAACTGATCATTAAAAACAAATGCAACGCACACACAAAGTTAATATCATTTGAAGTAGTACTAGAAATGACGTTCACCAGTAAATATCTACAGCTGTAGTCAGACTGATATTTTATTCTTGCTGTTGTCCACAAACCTAAGCCAAAATCACAATAAGAGAGTGTGAAAAACATCCACGTCACATCAATCACTGCTCAGTCCGTGGGGAGAAGTTCTGTCAGGGATCAGGAGCAGGCGCCAGCAGAAAAGAAAACTACAGCTCCAGTCTGCTGGTCAGGAGGAATCTGTAATCGAAGGCTGTTTTTAACTGCGCTGATGTGTCGAATCCACACTTATTCAGGGATTTTTTTTTTTTATCAGCTTTTGTTGCCGCCTGCATTAGTGTGAAGTTGAGTCCAGAGGAAAAAAAACCTATTTCTTCTTTGTGTTTTTTTTTTAATCGCAGGGGCCAAAAAAAAACAGCAACATTTTACCACTGAAGAATTGTCTTTCCACTGGTCAAAACTAATTTATGGGTATGTATTTTAACATTTTTGTTGTCTTTCTAAAAATCAGCCCCTGCTTCCATCTGTATAACACTGAACACCAGAGCTGGGTATGTGTTTTAATATGTTCTTTATTTTCATCAGCGAGAGAAATCTGTGGATTGTCTCTGCTACAACAGCCAGCACGCAAATTAGCAAAACGCTGAAGCGAACGCTAATGTTTTCTAAGTTATTTCTAAAAGGTGTCCTGTGATCAAAAACAACAACAATAATAATAATAATAATACTATCACTGATACACAGACACTGTACTCACCAAACTCAACTCGGGTTAACATGCACTGCATGGGATGCTCTGTCGTGTGTCTAGTTGTCGTCGCACCGCTCTCGTAGCACGATGCACACAGGTCGTAGTCGTAGCATATTAAACATTTGTATCGTCGACCTCTGAAGTTGCCTTTTAAACACGCGTCACAGCTCACGCCTGACGGACAGGAGAGAACACAGGTCACACGGATAAAAGATCTAATTTCAACATTTGATCAACGTTTAAAAGTTGTATATTTTACATCTAAATATACAGGAAGACGCATGAAAAACACGTGGTGGAACACGTCTGCAGCAGAATGGAGCTCAGAGGATGGGGACAAACGGATCAGGCTGCAGAGTAATCTTAGTTGACCCTCAGATCGTACACTAAGTTTCAAGTCTGACATAGCAGCTGTAGCTGTTGTCAGTTCACTAATGGAAAAATCCTTAAGAATTTAATCTCCCTCTACAAATGAATTAAATAACTTACAAAACTTACAAAAAGGGATGTCCGATAATATCAGCCAACTGATAACATTGGCCAACCGATAATATTGGCCAACTGATATTATCTGCGCAATATTAGCACATTTTTTAATATCTGTAAGAATCGTTATCGTTTTTTCCTCCGATAATGAAAACCCAATAACGCAATGCCTGGGTTTTGCGAAATGATGACTGCTCTAAAAAACAGTTTAATGCCCCAGCGACGGATCAGTGAGATGCCTCAGCGCTCTGAAGAACTTTTATTGAAACACAGTTGCAGTAACTCGTTCTAAACTCGGCATATCGGCGAAAACTTAATATCAGACATCCCTACTTACAACTACAGCGGTTTGGCACTAAATTGGAGGTTTCTTCTTCATAGACCCTGTGGCAAATTGACAGTCTCTCAAGAAAAAAATATTTTGTGAAGGAGTCATAACGGCAATGGAGGAGTGTTGTAATCAATTTAAAATAAATAAAAATGTTATATACATAGAGTTTGAGAGTTAAAGTTCATTGATTGCAACACAACATTGGTCATCTACACAAGACTTACATTTGTATGAAGTTTAAGTAATTTATTTGACCCTGTGCTAGTCAAAAATATTGGATCCTGCTACGCGAAAAATTGGTCATGACATTTTTAACAATGATGACGGAGTGAGAAATGTTGAAAAAATGTGTTTTATTATATATATATTATTTATTTTTTAATCAAGCTAAGCTACACTGTTAAGTCAATTGGTGCTATAACGCCATACATATGATGTCACTGCTGTAGACTACTGACAAATGTGTCCCTGTCCCATTACAGCCATCCCACAGCTCTGTGTGAAGGCTGTCACCTCGAGTGTAACATGGGGAAAACGGTACCCTATGTTTTGAACTCTATGCTATCTTGATTGACTTGGACAGTCGGGCCACCACGGTGTGTAAAGTATGTCAGCGGACTGTCGGCACTTCCTCATATTTAGTGGCGAGCCTTGGAAGCTCACAGCCAATGGGAGGCTGCTGTGCTGGGCAGTAGCACCAACGTAAATGACAGCAACAACAGGAACCACACAGTGTTGGCAAGGTAACAAATCTTGATCACTACCCAAGACGAAGTTGACAACAACACAAACCTGGAATATAAAGGCCGCTTAGGCCTGAGGAACCTTAGATGTTGGCCAGTTACAATATTAAAACAAACATCAATTGTGTGGAGGGTGGGAAGGCGGTAATGAGCCGGTTAGCCATTTGCAAAGAGGCTGATAAAACTAAGCTGACTTTACAAAGGGGAGTGAGTGGATGAACATACACCGGGTTCTACGTGATTCCAACAGCAAACTTCCAGCCCAACAACAAGGTTGGCCACAAGGACGAGGTGAATGTTGGTCTGCTGATTGTGAGCTGCATAAACTGTGATTCAAGTGTTGACTTCGGGGCGGTACAACTCACGCTAACTTTAATATTAACGATATGACACGTTTAGATTTGATCCACGACAGAGTCTGGAATTCCTCTGAGCTGCTCTCCGGTGTGTTTCCCTGATCTCGGCACTCCCCCTTCACTCAGCCCGGTGCTCGCTCTCCTACAGCCTATCAGCTGTTAGCACGCAGGCTAGTTAGCACATTTAGCTGACGCTTACTAGGCTTTTACTCTGATGTGCATTTTTATGAAATGCGCATAAGTCCATTGCGACACTGCCTGCACCACATTATAATTTAGATGCAGCCATTAGCAGCGACTCCATTTAAACGAAAACACGCAGACAGAACTGCAACCTCGCTGCTGACGCCAGCTAACACGAAGCTGCAAAACAAGAACCCATCGGCCAGCTCTGGTTAGCTGTCGCTGCTTTGACGGCGTTTTCATTAGAAATCCCGAGCCGCTCACTGCTGCTGCGGTCCAGTGTTTACTCACCTTCATGTCGGGACATCCTACGAACACTGACACAGCCCCCTGCTCGGGCTACGAGGCTTGCACTTAAGGTTAATACAGGTGAAGTGAGAGAGGAGACGCCGGGGCTGGCTGCCTGTCCCTGGCCTCTTCCCTCATGAGAGATCCGGTCTGCCCCCCTCCGCCTCCTGCTGTCACTGTCCGCTATGGTGCTCATCTGACTACACGATGGCGCTGCTGCTTTTTAGATAGTTGAGATGGCGCTTGAGCGATACCTCAGTCTCAGTGTCTATATATACACTACCGTTCAAAAGTTTGGGGTCACTTAGAAATTTCCTTATTTTTGAAAGAAAAGCACTGTTTTTCTCAATGAAGATAACTTTAAACTAATCAGAAATACACTTTATACATTGCTAATGTGGTAAACGACTATTCTAGCTGCAAATGTCTGTATTTTGGTGCAATATCTACATTGGTGCATAGAGGCCCATTTCCAGCAACTATCACTCCAGTGTTCTAATGGTACAATGTGTTTGCTCATTGCATGAGAAGGCTAATGGATGATTAGAAAACCCTTGTGCAATCATGTTAGCACAGCTGAAAACAGTTTAGCTGGTTAGAGAAACTATAAAACTGACCTTCCTTTGAGCAGGTTGAGTATCTGGAGCATCACATTTGTGGGGTCGATTAAATGCTCAAAATGGCCAGAAAAAGAGAACTTTCATGTGAAACTCGACAGTCTATTCTTGTTCTTAGAAATGAAGGCTATTCCATGCGAGAAATTGCCAAAAAACTGAAGATTTCTTACAACGGTGTGTACTACTCCCTTCAGAGAACAGCACAAACAGGCTCT